CAGCTGAGCAAGAGGAATCGGCCGTCGTCTTCTGGTGCAATCGACCTTCAAATATCTTCACCAAACATTTTCACTCGAAATGAGGTTAGGCTCAACGAATATTCTTGAGTTGAAATATCGACTGCAATGACAAATTCTAGCATAAATGTGAGTTTGGAGAAAACTAGTATTGCCTTGAAATTCGCATCTACTCTATGGCACACTGGCAACTAAGCCCGTGCTGCGAATTGGTAGATTTTCGTGCTGGTAACAGTGCACAAGACCATGTTTCGAATCTCGTTGTTGGTGTTGTTGAGATGTAAAAGTAGGTTCGAAGTGCACTCAAACATGGACATGAAAACCGTCTTGGAAACTGGGCTATGTAAACTATAATGTTATTGTGGGACACATTCATAGCAGTGTGGGAGGAACTTCAGTGTCAGTCCTTTAAATGAGGCGGAAAAAAGGACCATGGGGATTATTCTTTTGCTTAACCTCTGCTAATATTTTTGCAACTGCACTGTCGCGGTTCAACTCCCGCTGATGGTGTTGATAAGACCGATGCGACGTCGAAACTGCAGTCCACCTCAGCCTGCATGAGAACAACTTTTGGGAAAGAAAGCCAATGTGAAAATTCAATGGAAACGTCAGCTCAACTCATCTGATTGTGGGAAAATTCTTCTACCAATCCTTCACCTCCTTAAACGAAATTGGGTGAATGCATCTCATATACAAGATGACAGAAATAATGTTGCAAGGATATCGGAGTTATGAGAACCGTGAAATTTCCCCTCTCCCCCCCCCAAATTATTACGCTTTCTAAAGTTGCATGTGATCGAGTGGTGGAATAGCCTACCACAAAATCTGGTCTTGAATTCCATCTGAACTGAGACCAAAGCCAAAACGAGACCGAAGCTGCCTCCAACCTTTCGGGTGCACAAATCGGCGACCTTCACCATCAAAATCATGGCCACTTCAAGCATCAGTCGCCTAGCCAGAAAAATAGACCAAACGTGAGCCAACAAGCTTGAAGTGAGCACTTGATAGTACTCACATTCTATCGCCAGTCCTATGAAAAAAGCTTTCATTTTGTTGCTTCCATTCGGATAAAAGAACGACTTCACATCTTCAACCCACTCTAATCTATTAGGCTTGGCCATACAAGCTAAATGCGCCTCATTTCTAAGCTTCTTGCATCTACGCAAAACAACATGGTCGGCGGTTGTTATGGCCTCAAGTCAACCAAACAGATCCTGTATGGTTCTCTGCTTACGCCGACCGCTCCCCCTAAACTAGAAGGGGCCTCGGGATCCGATTGAATTCCATCGTGGTACCGCCACATGAATGCCAAATGCAAGCCAATGAAGCGATGAAAAGTGAATTTCAATATTGAGTTATTCCGTGAACTACGATGTGTCTGTCTGTATGGATAACGACAAAACTGCGTAAATCGCCTTGGAGACTACAAGAAGAGTATCGTCTTAGCAGCGGACGAAAGACGAGCAGACTCCCTCAGCCTACCCTCCATCTCTACTTCGTTGTTGACTAGGCAAGCACACCTTGAACGTCAAATGTTCGCATATCTTTGCCGTACACCTCCCATCTGGCTCCCATAATCAGGTGGGTTGATGCGAGCCCACTAACCTGGCCGGTTGAGGCAGTCGAGTGAGGAGTCAAACCGCCAGTCCGACGACAGTAGCCTACGGTTGCGGGTCGACAGAAGAAGAGAAAAAAAGGCAAGAAAGGTGGGTCCCTGTGCGGTACAGGCTGGAGGAAGAGCAGCCTTTGCGGCTTGGTCATCGTGACCATCGGTTCTCATCCAACAGGGCCGATCTGCTCGAGGCTGATCAGCTCAAGTTGTCCCAACTGCCGACATGAGAATGACGAGCAAACAGGAAAAATTGCTCAACCTCTTCAAAGCCATCGACACCAACGATGACGGAGTGCTCAGCTGTCAGGAGATCAACTACTACTTGTACTCCAATGGATATAGCCAAGCGCAGATCAGGGTAAGGAGTGAAATGTTTCATTGTAACATCAGCAGGATTCAGCCCAATGCAATTGGTATGACCCCCTGTTCACCTTCTCCGCCGTGGTTGGCATGCTTACTTACAGCATCGCAATGTTGGCCGGGTACATGCCCACACCTTTTGTATGCATCACAATCGCGATCGTCCGTAACCTTGGCCAGCATTAACATCGAGCTAAAACCGTCATAGAAATTAGGGGTTCTGGCCGGAAGGTACTAGAAATGCACTCGGGATGCCGCATGCGACGAGAGATAGGCGTCCACATTTTGCTGAGATAACAGTTGTTTAATGAAGGAGACGACCAGTGTAGTGAAGGCCTGATATCTACAAGCATGGCAATCAGAGCTTACGCCCTTCGCTCAGTGAAGTGGGGGTGTATGTGCTTCTAGGGCCTTGAGAAATAGCGTCCGGAAGGAAATGCACACAGGGACTGGACCCGAGTGAAATCGGTCAACCAGAAAGAAAAGGAACGGATCTACGAGACAATGAATGGATCCGGATTGGAGGCCCGAGTGGGATAAGCCCATCGAAAGAGAGGGGTCGGGGTAAATAGCATGTGTGATGAGGCCACACTCGGATTGCCACAAAAGGGCACACCTTTTGATGATTGGAATGTAAGCAAGTGAGAAGTTGTGATAGGGCGGCAGTGGGATAAGAGGGTAAAGAGT